ACAAAAGCTCCAATGAAGATGGATCGTACCGGATTGTCCACGGTGCGTCCGGCTCAGCAGCAGCAGCGTCTCTGTCCTCTCCTCCTCCTCCTCTTCTTCTTCCTCCTCTTCTTCCTCATTCTCTCTTGCCAATAAGCTGAGGTTGTGGACTGAGCTGTTGGTTATTGATTAGTAAATGTCGATTATTATGCAGGGATTTCCAGCCTAAGCGGCTTTGGAAAAGTTGCGTGCGTTCACATTAAAGAATAACCAGAGGCTTCTGATGTCAGTGATTTGTTTCCTCTTTTCTTCTCTTTTTTTCGCCCCCGATTCCATTTTTATTCACACGATTCCATTGTTTATTTTACACGCATTTAAATGGAGAACGGTGACTTTTACGCACACGTGGCCCTGTTTACAGGACGCAGTGGCGCAGTGGTTCTGCCTGGAAAACTATCATTCTCTTTCTACATTAAAACACTTACAAACCTCTGGTGTTTGGCTATAACATAGAGTGGCACAAACTGCAATTTCCATATGATTTTCCCTCCTTCAAATATTTCCTAATATTTACGCAAATCCATTTCCTTTTGCTTCACAGAACAAGAAGGTTCTGCGTCAGAGTTTGATCACAACAAAGTGAAACCTTTACATCCTATTTACAGTTTATTTCTGTTTATTTAACATTTAATAATGTCTGTTTTTATAATTAAACGAAACCAATTTATGCTCTTAAAACACTCACATTAGAATTCGGATTTGGGTTTTATAATACAGAGCCTAAATTGAGAACTATTCCTGGATCAAAAGAATTCTCCAGTGAGGTTTTCCATATGTTTTTTTATATGTTTCATATGTGCTATAAAAAGGCCTCTCTCTCCCTCTCTCTCCCTCCCTCCCTCCCTCTTCTCTCTCGCTCTTTCTTTGCATGGATCTAAAGGGAGAGGAAGGAGAGGAGGTGGGACGCCTCGCAGATGTGTGCTGCTGGGCCGCTCAGCTCCAGGTATCAGCAGCGGCCAGTCCTCCGTCTCTCCCTCCACGCTCGCGGGCTTGTTTTCTATCAGGGCGCATAAAGGCGCTGCGGTGGCGGCAGTGGCAGCAGCTATCTGCCGCTCTGCAGCCATGCAGCCCGTCCCCTGAGCATTGGCCGGCGGGCGATAATATCTCAAAGGGAGTGGTTATCGCCACACATTATATTATAATCATTAGTGATCCTAGCCCTTTCACCCCGACTGCAGAATAAGCGCGCAGTACCATTAATCTAAACTAGGGGAAGTGCATTACACAGGCGGCGGCTTCCACTGCGCCTGTGTGCATGTTCATTTCTCACACATTCATTCGTACGGGTCAAAAAGGAGAGGAGGAAAAAAAGAGGCAGTTACAAAAAAGGGGGAGAAAGAAAGAAAGAAAACATAAAGAAAATATATAATAAATATATGTAAATAATTATATATTGATGTAAATATAGGTCTATGTACAGTACATGTGTGTAGTGATTAATAGTTTTACAACTTCTGTGGACATATATATGTATGAATATATGTATATATATATACATATATACTGTATATATACATACATATATGTATGTATAAATATATACATATATACTGTATATATAAATTCACGTGCATACGTGTGAATATATTTATATATGTAATAATAAAATATATAATAATATATGACTTTTAATAGGAAGTTCTCCAATTATAAGTTAATCGATTGATAGACAGATAGATACTAATCAACTGTATTTCTGTACCTAATCATTTATTTACTCGATGACGGTGACCCTGTTCCCCTTAGACCCCGGTGACTCATGCAGGGTTACTTTTCCAGGACAGTTATGCCCACCCACC